GAGGACGAAATTCCTGAAAATGTTGGCAAAAATCAATGAAATGATAAAAATCTCGAAATCGGTGAAAACCTCCTATGAATAATGAAACACTTGAAATCGATAACAACCTTCAATGAATTGATGAAATTCCTGAAATCGATGACAACCTCCAATGAATTGATGAAATTCCTGATATCGATGAGAACCTTCATTGTAGTGATGAAATACCTGAAATCAATGACAATTATCAATCAATTGACGGAATTCCTGAAACCGATGACAACCTTCTATGAATTGATGAAATTCCTGAAATCGATGATAATCTCCAATGAATTGATGAAATTCCTGAAATCGATGACAAACTTGAATGAATTGATGATATTCCGAAAATCAATGACATCTTATGAATTTATGAAATTCCTGAAATCGAGGACAGCCTTCAATGAATTGATGAAATTCTAGAAATCGATGACAACCTTCAATGAATTGATGAAATTCTTGACATCGATGACACTCTTCATTGAATTGATTAAAATCCTGAAACCGATGACAACCTTCTATGAATTGATGAAATTCCTGAAATCGATGACAAACTTGAATGAATTGATGATATTCAAAAAATCAATGACATCTTATGAATTGATGAAATTCCTGAAATCGATGTCAACCGCAAATGAATTGATGAAATTGCTGATATCGAGGACAGCCTTCAATGAATTGATGAAATTCTAGAAATCGATGACAACCTTCAATGAATTGATGAAATTCTTGACATCGATGACACTCTTCATTGAATTGATTAAAATCCTGAAACCGATGACAACCTTCTATGAATTGATGAAATTCCTGAAATCGATGATAATCTCCAATGAATTGATGAAATTCCTGAAATCGATGACAACCTTCAATGAAGTGATGAAATTCCTGAAATCGAAGGCAACCTTCAAAGAAAATGTGAAAATCCTGAAAGTAATGACAATCTAGAATGAATTAATGAAATTCCTGAAATCGATGACGACTTGAATGCATTGATGAAATTCCTCAATCGGATGCCAACCTAGATTGAATTGATGAAATTAATGAAATCGATGACAATCTTTAATGAATTGATGGAATTCCTAAAATCAATGACATCTTTTAATGAATTGATGAAATTCCTGAAATTTCTGACAACCTCCAATGAATTGATGAAATTCCTGAAATAGATGACAACCTTGAATGAATTGATGTAATCTGGAAATCGATAACAACCTTCAATGAATTGATAAATTCCTAAAATCGATGACATTCTTCAATGGGTTGATGAAATTCATGAAATCGATGATAATATTCAATGAATTGACGGAATTCCTCAAATCCATGTCAAACTTCAAAGAAAATGTGAAAGTCCTGAAATTGATGACAACCGAGAATGAATTAATGATATTCCTGAAATTGATGACGACTTGAATAAATTGATGAAATTCCTCAAACCGATGCCAACCTTGATTGAATTGATGAAATTAATGAAATCGATGACAACCTTGAATGAATTGATGATATTTCAAAAATCAATGACATCTTCTTATGATTTGATGAAATTCCTGAGACCGATGACAGCCTTTAATGAATTGATGAAATTCCTCAAATAGATGACAAACTTGAATGAATTGATGATATTCCAAAAATCAATGACATCTTTTAATGAATTGATGAAATTCCTGAAATTGATGACAACATCCAATGGATTGATGAAATTCTTGAAATTGATGACAGCCTTCAATGACTTGTTGAAATTCCTGAAAAAGATGACAAACTTGAATGAATTGATGATATTCCGAAAATCAATGGCATCTTCTTATGAATTGATGAAATTCCTGAAATCGATGACAACCTCCAATGAATATTTGAAATTTCTGAAATCGATGACAACCTACAATGAATTGATGAAATTCTTGAAATCGATGACAACCTTCAATGAATTGATGAAATTCTTGACATCGATGACACTCTTCATTGAGTTGATTAAAATCCTGAAATCGATGACAACCTTCTATGAATTGATGAAATCTGAAAATCGGTGGCAACCTTCAATGAAGTGATGAAATACCTGATATCGATGATAATATCCAATGAATTGATGAATTACTAAAATTGATGACAATCTTCAATGAGTTGATGGAATTCCTGAAATCGATAACAGTCAATGAATTCTCTCAATCTGCTTTCATTGATTTTAACATTCCCTGAATTCACTCATTTTGATTTCATTGATGACAACATCAATGAATCGAATCAAAAGTTTTTCACTGATGACAACATTCAATGAATGGGGTGTGCGATAACCTTACCGCCACGTGGTCCACCCTGGGCAACGTATACTCATACGGCAAAAAAGTCTATTATCCGGCAGTTGACTTCTGACTTCAAACTACAATAACTTCACTGGATGCCATATTCTACCACTTCCACAGTAATCATCCTACCTTTTCTCTGTCTTTGTGTCTGTCTCTTTTACAACTGTAAACCACTCTGCTGTTCCCCATCTCTCGACTTCCTGTTACTTTGATGTTTCTTCCGTCTGCGAAGCCCGAAGTCAGCTAAAGGGCAAATAACAACTATCAAAACGCCTGCCATTTGAAATAAAAAAATAAATAAAAAAATAAATATATTCAATGAATTGACTCATTTATTCATTGTTAACAAAAATCCATGGATTAGTTCAATTGGTCTTCATTGATGACAACATTCAAGGAATCGACTCAATTGGATTTCATCCATGACAGCATTCAATGAACAGACACACGCCAAAGGATGTCATAATCACATGAACCATATTCGCCTCTAATTGAAGGTTGTCATCAAATGAACCAAATTCATCAGTTCATTGAATGTTGAAATCAATTGAACCAATTTCGTCAATAATTAAATGATATCATCAATTTAACTAATTTCATCAATTCAATGAATGTTGTCATCAATTGAACCAATTTCATAAAATTCAAAGAATTTTGTCCTCAATTGAACCAATTTCGTCAATAATTAAATGATATCCTCAATTGAATATATATCAAAAATTCAATAAATGTTGTCTTCAATTGAACCATTTTTGTCATTAATTGAATGATAACAACAATTGAACTAATTTCATAAAATAATTGAATGTTGTCATCAATTGAACCAAGTTAATAAATTCATTAAAGATTGTCATCAATTGAACCAATTTCATCAATTCAATGAAGAATTTTCATCAATTAAACCAATTTCATCAAATATTGAATGTTATCATCAATTAATTCAATTTCATCAATTCAATGAATGTTATCATCAATTGAACCAATTTCATCAATTCAATGAATGCTGTCATCAATTGAACAGGTCTGTAAATATGATTGCCTCTAGCGTCCTCTTATCAAGTCAAAGTCTTCTCAGTCGGATCTTATGACTACCGTCTAGCTTCTTCTTATCAAGTCAACGTCTTATCAGTCGGTTCTTATGACTATCGTCCGGCTACCTCTTATTAAGTCAATGTATTCTCAGTCGGTTCTCATGACTATCGTCCGGCTTCCTCTTATCAAGTCAATGTATTCTCAGTCGGTCCAAATGACTACGTCTAGCTTCCTCTTATCAAGTCAAAGACTTCACAGTAGGTTAAAATGACAATCGACTAGCTTCCTATAATCAAGTCAAATTCTTCTCAGTCGGGTCCTATTACTACGTGAACCTTCATCTTATCAAGTCGAGGTCTTATCAGTCGGTTCTAATGACTATCGTTTAGCTTCCTTTTATCAAGTCAACGTCTTCCAAGTCGGTTCTTATGACTATCGTCTAGCTTTCTCTTATCAAGTCAGCGTCTTCTCAGTCGATTCAAATCAGTTTCTCCTACCTTTTTCTTATCAAGTCTATGTCTTCTCAGGCGGATAAAATCAGTTTGTTCTACCTTAATCTTATCAAGTTTAAGTTTTCTCAGTCGGTAAAAATCTGTTTCCTCTGTCTTTATCTTATCAAGTGAAAGTCTTCTCAGTTGATTCAAATCGGTTTTCTCTACATTTTTCTTATCAAGTCTAAATCTTCACAGTCGGTGCAACCAGTTTGCTCAACCTAATCTAATCAAGTCTAACTCTTCTCAGTCGGCTCAAATCCGTTTCCTTTACCTATTTCTTATCAAGTCTAAGTCATCTCAGTCTGTTCAAATCACTCTTCTCTACCTTTATATTATCAAGTCTAAGTCTTCTCAGTCGGTTCTAATCACTTTCATTTAACTTTTTCTTATCAAGTCTACGTCTTTTCAGTCGGTTCAAATCAGTTTACCCATTGATTTATTTTATCAAGTCTTAGTCTTGTTGTCAGTTTTCTCTACCTTTATCTTATCAAGTGAAAGTCTTCTCAGTCGGTACAAATCGGTTTCTTCTACATTTTTCTTATCAAGTCTAAATCTTCACAGTCTGTGCAATCAGTTTCCTCAACCTAATCTAATCAAGTCTAAGTCTTCTCGAACGGTTCAAACCAGTCTTCTCTACATTTATCTTATCAAGTCTAAGTCTTCTTAGTCGGTTCTAATCAGTTTCCTTTATCTTTTTCTTACCAAGTCTAAGTCTTCACAATCGGCTTAAATCAGTATCCTATACCTTATGATAAACAAAGCTAAGTAATATGGGTCGGTTCAAATCAGTTTTCTCTACCTTTTTCTTATCAACTCTAAGTCTTCTCAGTCGGTTCAAATCAGTTCCCTCCACCTTTAACTTATCAATTATAAGTCCTTTCCATTGGTTTAAATCGATTTCCTCTACCTCATTCTAATCAAAGCAAAGTCATATGAGTCGGTTAAAATGAGTTTTTCCTATCTTAATCTAATCAAGTTTTAGTCTCCTCAGTCGTTCAATTCAATTTCCTCCATATATTCTTTTCAAGTCTATATCTTCTAAGTCGGATAACATCAGTTTTCTCTACGTTTATCTTATCAAGTCTAAGTCTTCACAGTCGGATAAATCAGTATATTTTAGGATATTTATCTTAACGGACTGAGAAGAACTCAATCTGATATGATTACGATAGACGTTACTCATCCCAACCGACTAAGAAGACCTCGACTTGATATGAGCAAGCTTGTCCATTCTCATCATAACCGACTGAGAAGACCTCAACTTGGTATGACCAAGCTAGACGATACTCATCTCAACCGTCTTAGAAGACTTCGACTTGATATGAGCAAGCTAGACCATAGTCATCTTAACCGACTGAGAAGACCTCGACTTGATATGAGCCATTTAGATAGTCCCCATCCCAACCGTCTGGGAAGACTTCGTCTTTATATGAGCAATCCAGACCATACTCAACCCAACCGACTGAGAAGACTGAGACCATACTCATCCCAACCGACTGAAAAGACCTCGACTGAGCAAGCTAGACCATACTCATCCAACCCGACTGAGAAGACTGAGACCATACTCAACCCAACCGACTGAGAAGACTTCGACTTGATATGAGCAAGCTAGACCATACTCATCCAAACCGACTTAGTAGACCTCGACTTAATATATAAGGAACATATACGATACTCAACGCAAACCGACTGAGAAGACCTCGACTTGATATGAGCTTGCAAGGTATTGACAATTTCACCTTTCAATCGAACGTCACTTGAATATATTTCCATTCTTTCGTAAGTCAGCAGACAATTAGGATGTTAGATGAATTAAATTGATCATCTCTTTGAATCCAATTTAGTTGATCGAAATATCAATCTTCGGCCCCACCTCCATGCATTCGCAATGGAAGCGCTTTCGTTTTTACAAATTCCTTTCATTCCCCTTTTCCCTCCACAAATAAATTGGCTTTTAAGAGGATTATCTCCACGTAGCTTCGAGTCCAAAGCATCACTACTCCACATTTGTGTACAAGAAATGTTACCAAGTTATGAGCACACCCTTGGAGTTAAATCGGAGGATTTGTT